TAGCAGTGATGTCTACTGCATAGAGTCACTTGAGCATTAAATGAGGTCATGTGGAAATGTCAAGTCAGAGGACAGCCATTTGGCAGTGTGCCCAGATGAACTGATTTCTCTACGAGTATGATTGTGGAGAATGGCAGTCACTTGGAGGTATGGCTTTGTGGTCAGCCAGGCTTACTCACTAGCTGAGTGACTCTTTTATATCCAGGCCATTCAGTGCTTGCCTTTCAAATATATTCCTCAGCAAAACTGCAAAGTGCTACACGTCAAGGACCTTTCGGGCTGCTCTCTAATAGTCTCAATGCGGGTAAACTCACCACAATCTAATGGATGTGTTGAAAGTGATTATCTTAGCCAATGTTTTTCACATCTTTTTAAAATCCTTTGCCAGTAAAATTTGTGCTCTAGTACAAATTAGATCTCCAGTTAAATGATGATAATACCTAAAAGAGTTTTAGTAGCTAGGGAATACTTATTTAGTAAAGTTATTTCACAATTTCCACATTATTTGGTAGGAGTGGTTGACTTAGGTGAAAAATGACCAATGAGAAGTGTATGACAGAAGCTGCTACAGATTTAACCATCTCAACAGTATTCTTGAAGAAAGTAGTACATTATCTTAAATAACAGGCCAAAATAATGGTCTTAAAATTCACATGTACTTATATCTTTTGTTATTTCATAAATAATTTGAGATAGTAACATATTTGAATTGAAAGCTACCTACATATTTTTGTGCCTTTACTTCTAATCATTGTTTCAAAATAGCATTTTAAAGTTATGAAACAGTTAAAGCTTAATTATTTAAGAATATGAATATTTTTACTCATAATGATTGCTTTAAATTGATCTGAATAATGTAGAGAATTGGGTATTCATTTCTGAGCTATCAAAGCTGATAAACATATGCACAATCACTTGTCAGAAATTGACTGATTTGGGGTTAATTTTATAATACAAGGCAATGAAACTTTAGCTAGCACCCTTTTTTGTTGTACTTTGGAACTAAAGTGTTTAAAAGTGTTAAAAAGTTCCTAATGTTTTTCCAGAGGAGTTTTTAAAAACCGTTTCTCTAGTGAAAAGTCTAACTGATGGACTCACAATATTTCCAAAATATGATGTTGCAGGATTTAACAGGTTTGTTGCATATAATGGATAAGAGTTGGGCAGTCTGGACACCAGGCCTTAATCTCATTTACCATAGACCTTATGGAAATTAGCTTTTCTGTTTTTACTTTTGTAAAAAGGATGTAATATATACCTCTAACTAATGTATGTAAGGAATATAGATAAATTGAGCTTTAGGCCCCTTTACAGAAAGGATCAATGAAAATCAAGCTCACAACAACAACAAAAGTTGCAGCTACTGCTGTTTGTAATAACGCTGTCATGCTTGTCCATACTTTAGATTCTGGGAAGAAGTGTTAACATTTTGAAACCTTTCTGGGCCATGAATTAGCAATTTATAACTTTTGAAGTCCCCATGACGAGGAATGTTCTATCTTTTTTTTTAATTTTAGAAAAAAGTTTTCAGAGTTAAATTGGGTGTAGAATAATATTTTCTTTCTGTGTGATTAAAAGTCCAGTGACTGTAGAGCTTTTTGTTTTGTTTTATGAGAATTGAGTTCTCTTCCCTTGAATATTGTGACAAAGGGAAAAGTCTGTGGTTCTCTCAGAATATTTATTCCCTCTGTAGAGCTTCTTCAGGTGGGTGCCAGTTAGTTCAATACCCTTTTCACTTTTCTGCCAAGGCTAAACATTCCTCTAAGACATAAGCTGTTATCTTTTTTCTTGTAACCCATAGCCTAATTGAGAGATTAATGCATAATTAGCTACTCAATACATGTCTAAACCACACAGTCTTATGAGTGATAGGATGGGCATTGTAGAAGAATAGTTGAGTATGAAAATACATGAAATAAGTATGATTGCGATGGAAGGTTTTAGTAGGGAGTAGTGAGAGGGAGGGCTAAAAAAAAGGATTAGAGCTTGCTTTTAGAAGTACTTAGCTGTAGATAGTAAACATTATTCTTTAGGTTCTTTGTCTCTCACACAGAAACTTGTAATTATCTCATTATGACAAAGTAGGGAATCTCTTCCGCAGACTTTGGGAATTAAACAAGTGTTATTCCAATATTTGCTGCTGCCCTTTTTCTTGAATTTCATTCTTGCATGTGTGCTGAGGATGGAACATTTCTGTCAGCACTTGTGAGTAGAGACTGCACTGTGAATTGCTGCGTATGGAACTATAGAGAGCATGTTTGTTGTATTAAGGGCATATTTTTAACTATATTATTAATGATATTAGCAAGTTCTTGATGAAGTCCCAATCAACTTCTAGTGCATCTTGAGGGAGTTAAAATTGTTGATGTTAATGAAGAATGGAAAATTCCTTTTGGAGGTAAAGTTTTAAATCTGATTTGAAATAAAGAATTTATTCGTTAAAGGAACAAATAAGAAACTCTTACCCTCTGGAGATCTGAGTATTTCTTGACTTAAATCTTCATATTCTAATATGCTTGGCATTTATGTCCTTTGTCCCTATCACTAAACCATCAGGCAGCCTGATACTTATGAGGTATGTTCCCTGGAGTGATTCCAGACTGAGTTTTTGCAGTCAAGGTAAGATTATGGAACAGAGGGACAAAGAAGAAATTAACATAGCTGTGGCCTAATTTCAAAGCAAAACTTTGACATGTGTTCATGTTTGACCTCTAGATTGCTTGTTTCTTGAAAGAAAAATATACCTGTCTTGCACCTTCAATTTAAGGGCATAACTAGTGAAGACATTTCTTAGGTACTTCTTCGTTACATGTTTCATTCTCACTTAGAACAGTTTACATCTGATGCAATTACTTAGATCCTTTTTTCTAAGTTTTAGGGATAATTAAACTGAATTCAGCACACATACACGACAACAATGTTAACACAGATTTCTTTTTAAGCTCAGTTCTCTAATGGAAGTCATAAAAGCAGTATTTCACAATGTTTGCTGCACCCCCTACTGGCTATATTGTGACACTTCCTAAATAAAGAGCATCTTTAGATACTGCTCAGTGAATCCATGATTTCTCTTTGGAGTTATTTTTTGTTTAGAAATCATTTCAATTGCATCTGATATATAATAGAGTTGAAATTTTAATTGAAAACAGTTTTCTTTATAATTTGACAATTGATGTTTAAACAGTGCTTATCCTTTCAGGTAGTATAATAATGTATTTGTTGGAGACAAAATATTTGCCATAGCCTTTTTACTAATATTTCAGAGGAAATTCAGTGGAGGAGAAGCATCTCCCCAAATGTTCTTCTTTTATAGTAAATCTACCATGAGGATCCTTATCCATAAATCTATATTCATGTTTATTTTATGCTAGATACAAATCTTGCAATATTCATGAAGCTTTAAGAAGAGCACTTTGAAACTTAAAAGAGGTTCTCTGAGCAGGGGTTGGCAGTGGTGAGGTCCAGGTAGTTATAATAGCCATAAGGGCAGGGATTATGGTTATTTGGCTCACCAGTGTGTTTCAAGCCATGATCTGGAGTCAGGGTGTTAGTGACTCCTCTAAGGGGAGAAAAAGTAATTACAGGAAGCATAATTTTCTAGTTAATGCCATATGAATTGACAGCCATCAAATCTCAGTTTCTCAGGAACAAAAGAGATGCTAAATTAAGTGGACAAAGATCATTTTCTAAATGGCAAGTTAAGCTAAGTGACAAAAAATTTAAGGCCATTATTTATAAATATTGCGTGAATTTTAAGTGGGATCCTGCCCTAATTTAGAAATAAGTGCATCTTCTTTAAATGAAAACATGTATTCCTGTTACGTGTACATCCTTTACTATCTTAACAAATATTTATTGAGATTACACACATGTTCCCAGAGTGTTTTGTGTTCTCCATTATCATACTGTGTTGAAATTGATGGTTTACTTATTTCCTCCAGTGAGTGCTCAAATTAATGCTCAGTGGATGGATGGACGTTGAATGTACAGGACTGAGGGTAGAATCCTAATGAATCACCATATGGCCTTTAATGTCCTTTGGATTTCTGCAATAATCGCTCACTTTTTTGTACATATGTTGTTGGATGTGGTTTTTGCTGGTTACACATGCACATAGATGTTTTGAATACTATTAACTGTTTTTTTTCTAATAAAATCTTATTCATCCAAAATCTAGTATTCTGAATCAGTAGAAAGTCTTAATCATAGACTGTTTTAAAAGAATTGTAGTTTATTAGTCATATGCTTACCATTGTAACACAGTCTTAAAGCTAATGTTTGACTTTTCTAAGTTAAAGTCCTTTTGTTCTAAATTTCTGTGGTCCTGGTATGATGAAAAGGTATGGTCTATTAGGACATGCTAACCTTATGATATTAGTATGTTGATTAGTACATGTATCTATGCAAGTAAATGATATTAAAATGCTTTGAGACAATTTTTAAAATTGCATTTCTTCCTACAATATGGTAGCCTTATTAATTTTCTTATTCCTTTCCTGTAAGGCAAAAGCAAACTGGTAAATTATCATAAAATCACTGTTATCATGAACTCAAATTAAGACTGTAAGGCTCTTTGCGTATTATACTCTAGAGTTTGTCTTGTCATGTACGTTATTGTGAGATATGTTTCAGACCAACAGAAAATAGGTTTACTTCTGCCTATACTTTTATCTATAAGGTTTTAGAAGTAAATTCATAGAATCAGCTTGGACCTCTTTAAATAATTTTAGGAGTTATGAACTAGCTGATTTTGGCGTGTATCTTGATTTGGCAAGTGAGGAAACTCAGGCCCAGAGAGATTAGGCAAAACTTTCCAAAGTCTGGAGCCTGAGCCACATTTTGTGATTAACCACCCAGAGTTTTTCCACATTGCTTCCCATGGAAAGGATAGAGAATAGAATTATCTTATCAAATGGCCAGGAAGGGTGTTTTGCTGAATTAATTAGCTTGTAGTGTCACTGAACTTACGTGTAACATTTTCACATTTCTCTTTGTTGCAGAATGCAAAGTATGGCGAAATCCACTAAATTTATTTAGGGGTGCTGAATATAATCGGTAAGCACTTTGACAGCTTGGGAAACAAATGGGTCTGGTTCAGAGAGCAAAGACAGCAGTAAATGTTTTTGCTGGTTCATTTAGGGGTCATTGTAACAGTCTATTTAGTGCATCCATTTTTTAATACTATCTTCAAATGTTTTGATTTTTCTGTTTTATAAATATTTTAGCACTAGATTTGGGATAATATACAAAAATGTGTAGTTTTTAGAGTTTTTGTAGTAACAGTTATTCTTTTCAATATATACTATACATTCAAAACATTTCGAAGCTTACCTGGAATATGGTTATAGAGATGTCACAGAAGTTATGTTGGAATTTAGTTTAGCAAAGTAATTAGGCAAATTAGAATTTTCTTAGCTTTAGGAAAGTATCTATTCATAATATGAATTAGGGAAGGTTTTCATTAGCAATGGCTAGTAAATTTTAAGACGAAAATACAGGGGAAAATGTTTATATATTTTGATTGATATAATTTCTGAAGGGAGAATAAGATGATTAAAAAATTTTTTTTTTATTCATTAGCCAAGCTATTTTAGTATTCAGTTAATGGTCTATATTTCAACACCTCTGCAGCTTAATGTTTTATAGGTCTTGCTTTTCTCTCTCAAAAGTGTCTAATCATCTTATTTCTCCTTTGCAGGTATACTTGGGTGACAGGACGAGAGCCTCTTACTTACTATGACATGAATCTCTCTGCCCAGGACCACCAGACGTTCTTTACTTGTGACTCGGACCATCTGCGTCCTGCAGACGCAAGTATGAAAAATCCATACGTCCTTCTGAATGGGAGGGCTTTTTGGCTTAAGTATCAAGATTTCTGCTTTTAGAATATCCACTCTGTAAAACTCCAATGAATAAAATGTTAAATTGTTGATTGACTAATAAGAACCCAGAACTCTGATAATTATGTAAACCTTTATCACAATGAGGTATTGATGTAGAAATGAGTCCCCTCATAATAATTTGAATCATGATTTTAAAAAATATATTAAATTTGGTTTTATATATTTTAAAGAAATATAAATCTTATATGATGCTAATGAAATTATTGGTTGAGTTAGCCTGAAGGATCTTGCTCCTTTATAATATCCAAAGTAGAAATTGGAATTCACTGGATTAAAATGATTAATGAATATATTTTAGTGACTTTTATTTGCTGGTTTATAGGTTAACTATCGAATGGGGTCATGGCCTTGGCTATTGGAGTCCAGATGTGTGCTCCATCTGAGAAAATACTTTGTTTAGTGTGTATTTTACATTACTTGAGTTTCAAATAATTCAACCAAAATTTTTTGTATTATAAAACTAACTCAAAGTAAATAGGTGAAAAAATGTTTTTAAAAAGGAACCTCTGCACACTCTAAAAGAATTTATAAAATACAAATTTATAAAATAAATAAGGAGATTGTTACTCCTTTGTAAAATGGTACTCTTTGCTATGGTAGAAACATCATGGTACAATAAATATTCCCAAACATTGAGCTTCCCACCATATGTTCAGAAACTGCGCTGATGTATAAAAGCTAGGTTTGCAGGTAAATTTGGGATGTCAGTAATGTTAAGCAAAAGCTTAAAGCACTTATTACTGACCCACACATCATTCCTGAAATGGTTTCAAAATGTTCTAACACCAAGAGTCTGTAGTAAGTGCTTCAGAAAATGACCAATTATGTTGCATCTAAGTGAATGGAGAGGTTAGTAGCAATGTCATCTCAAAATGTGTAAAATAATGTATGTTCTCCAAAAACAAGTGACATTAATGTGCAAACGACATGCAAAATCTCTGTTAGAGTGCCTTTTCTTGATTTCCTTAGCCTGTAGTTTTGTGAGCACAAAAAAGGTTTGCTATCAGCAGTTGAAACACAGTGGAATAGCACATTAATGTGACTTTGGAGATTTTGGCCAACCCTCTTAGCAATGAACTATATTCTTGTAATTTAAGCTGACATTCCCAATTTAGCTCTTGTCCTCTACTGAGTCTACCTAATTATATGTATAGATTGACTTGGTTTTTTTCTCTTTTTCTTAAATAGTAATGCAGAAAGCCTGGAGAGAGAGAAACCCCCAAGCTAGGATTTCTGCAGCTCATGAAGCGTTGGAGATAAATGAGTAAGTGGCGGAAAATCTTGCCGTTAAAAAGGAAATCTCATCCTTTGCTGAATATATTCAGTTGCCATTGATAGGATACTTAAATTAAACTGCATTTGAACTGGAGGATGATTTGGGGAGTTATTACTCTATTTAAAAAAGTTGTTTTTCTTTTTAAATGAAGGACAGCCACTGTGTGGAGGTGGTTTTAGTCATTTTAGAGAGAAATTCAATGGCTTTGCTGTAATCCTAAATTAATTTCTTGAAGGGCTTTCCCTAGGATATTGTGAAGATATAAAATAAATACAATTATTTACATATCTAAAACATTTTGACAGGGAAATTTTTCCAGATGTAGACTGCGCATGTGCACTAGAACGTTTTCTAGTAGAACTTCTGCTAGTGGGGAAAACATGATAACAACATAAGGTTTAAAAAAAATTTTAGAAAATATTTCAAGATTAAGACAAAGATAAGAGGAAATGCTGTCTTGAGTGTTGTTAAACATTCTATGGGTTACCAAGGAAGGCTGGGAAATCTCTTCTGGAGATCTCAGAAAATGAGAAAGATTCTTAAAGTTGGAGTCATAAAAACTCAGGGTTGGCAGAGACCTTAAAGGTCATTTAGCTCAACCACCCATCTGGTGCTTGAATCACCTCAACACTATCCTTGCCAAGTGGTCATTGCTAAACTATTTTATGATTTTTCTAAAGAAGGTTACAGAATCTTCTTCAGAGGTCTTAGGAAAAAAAAAAAAAAAGATTGTCTTGAGAGTTGGAAATCCTGCCATTGTAACCAGTTGATCTATGGTTTCTGATTCTGTCATGCAACATATTTATTTTCCAGTTTCTTGTCATCTACAAATTCGATATGCCTGCCTTCTGTGTGTCATCCATGTTTCTGAGAAAAATATGAGGGCCAGGAATAGAGCCCTGTGACATGACATGTAGAAACTACCCTCCAGGTTCATGTCTTCATGAATCACCATCTTTTGTATTGTTCATGTAAATCTATTAGAGTAAATTAAGCTAGCACAATCTGATTTATTTATTCTTAGTGGATTTAAGCTGGCTTCTAGTGGTCACTACTTTCTTTTTAAAGTGCTTGGAGACCATCCCTTTAATAATCCATTAGAATATCTTTCCAAATCACTGTGCTCTGTAGTTTGGGAAGTCAGCCTTCTTACCCTTTTTGAAAATTTATGCTACATTTATCATCTCATCTTCTAGCACCTCTCCATTCTTTGTGATTCCTCGACTATCCACAGAGAGCAATTCCATGGCCTGCCTACAAGGTCTTTTGGTTTCCTGGGATTTGCCCATCCAGTCCAGTAATTCATTTAGAATGGATCAATTATTTGCTATCTTACATCTTTTTACCCATTTTAGAGTTTAATTTCTTCTCCCTTTTTCAGTCTGACAGTCATTCTCCTTAATAGAGAAGCCAGGAACAAAATAGGAGGGAGTTTTGCTTTTTCTTTATTATCTACTGCTGTTAACAATAAACCTTCCTTGTTTTGATGTTGTTGTGTTGTCTGTCTTTTTTTTTTTTTGCTTATTTGCTTTTGTGACATGGGGATGGTGATAGGGCCTTAAACATAATTTTAAAATAGGGAATACATGGTTGTCTTTAGTATTTTATTTTGTCTTTATTATTATTATTATTATTTGCAAGCATCAGCTAATTTGGAATTGTAGCCCTCCTGACATTATTCTTATAAACTCATTCCACTCTCTTATAGACCATCATTACATACCCTCTTTCCATCTTTTAAAATACGTCCTTTAAAAATCTGACCTGGGAGAAATCTCTGTGAAGCCGTATTGGTTACTTAAGTGCCACCCCTCTTTTCTTCCTGAGAGGATCATTTGTGATTGCAGTTACAGTTGAACATTTAGAAGCTGCTCAACCCTCTTAAACCATTTTTCCTTCTGAGTCTCATGCCATTGAATCATGCCTCTTTTCTTTGAATTTTTTGAAGTCCACCTTCCCCTCTTTGATTACCCTGAACTCCGAAATGACATAGTGACTCTCTCTGAATGTTCCTATCAATTTTCATTTTACCAACTATTTTTTTCTTCTTGGTCAGAATTAGGTCCAGAGTTGAAGTTCCCCTAATTGCTTCCTCTACCATCTGGGAGATAAAATTGTTACCAAAGTAAGTCAAGAACCTGTTGGGTGCCCTACTTCTAACCAAATGAGACTTCTAGTGGATATCTGGATGGTTGACACCCCCATCACCACACTTTCTTGCTTCTGTGTGTGTATTGTGTTGTGACAAGGATGCATCATCTATATCTTCCATCGAGCTGAGCAGTCTGTTCTGTACTCCCCAACCATTAGCACTTCTATTGCTCTCTCCTTTTTCCTTCACTCACAAGCTCTTAGCATGTTTCTACCCCAAACTCATGCGTTTCCACATAGATGTATGTTTCTTGGCCAGTAGTGCTACTCTGCCTCTCCTCCTAAGAATACCATTTGAAATTTAAATAAGCAAAGCAAGCAAGCTAGCCCCAACCATTCTTGGGTTCCCAGCCCAACAACTACAATCTTACAGTTAATTCCTCTGATACTGTATCTACCACTCAGTATTACAATCTCAATTTTCACTTCATTACCCTTGCCTCATATTTATATGTCGGCATCTGAAGCCTTAAGCATTTCTTCTGATGCCTGTCCCAGTTATTTTCTCCAGTGAATCACTTGGATAGTTTCAGCATCATTATGGTTCTTTCCAAGTCATGGATGCTGCCATCTGTAGAAATTGGTTTTATAGCTGTTTTTCTGGGCATTTTTCTCCCTCCCTCACCACATTGTTTAAAGCCCCATTGATGGTTCCTGCCTGAAATTAGAGAGATTGGCTGAAGACCTTACAGACCCTTCCTAAGGCTAAGATTAATTAGTAGCCCCAACCCTTACATTAGCTGTGAAGTTCAGCCTCCTTTTCCTAGCTGGCTATTGCAGTTTGTGGACAGTAAAAGTAGCATTTGGTTTTACTTTCTGTTTATTTTCTCTCTTGTGGTCTGATGGAAATAAGTAGGGAAATGGCCACAAGTGAGGCAGTGGGGAAGGAAAGTGGAAGGATGGGTGCAGGGCCTGTGTGGTCTGTTACAGCCTCACTACTGCCCTATTCCATTCCCTGTCTTTGGCAGTGGGTTGTTCCTCATATGCTTTGGAAGGTTTAAATTCCCAAGAACTCCCCATGTTCATTAATTATCCTTTTGGCTTCCCACCTTAGAGGCTTGTTGAAAGGATTATATGAGATGATATATGTTAAGTGCCTGGCACAGTGCTTAATAGATACTGAGCAACAAGTGATAGCTATTGTTGTTGAAGGCATGAGATTTAACTTGTTAGCTACCGTGGCTGAGTCAGATTTTGAGTTCTTCAGAAATAACACTACTTGTAGGTTCTTCCCATGTTCTCTGAAGCAGAAAGTCAGTGCTAACTGTAAAGAGATGTTGAAGCACTGTGTTTTTTTCAGTGAGTAACTTGATTTAACAGATTTCTTATTCTGAAGAAATCCTTAGATTGAAGATAATCTGTGTTTGGTTAACAGAAGTAAACCTGTATATAGCACCTCTAACTTTAAGTGTTGGAAGGAACTATTTAATAACAGCTGTTATCATCACCATCACTAGCTGACATTTATTGAGCACTTAACCACATGCTGGCTACAGTACTGAGCACTTTACATGCATCATCTTACTTAACCTTCACAACAACACTGTGAACAAAGATTCCATGTTGTTCTCCATCAGGGAGGCAGAGTAAGAACTTGCCCAAATTGACACACTAATAAAGGGTGGAGTCCATATGTGAGCCCCATGCTCCTAACACTACACATCCTACCTCTCAAGCTAAAATATAGACGTTCCTTTTGTACCATTATTTTGTGTCAGCAACTACAAACAGGGGTGCATGAACCAGTTGGCCACTCTGCATGTTTTGGCGTAACTCCTTGCCTTTCTGCATGAGCTCCTACAAGTCTATTACCATGTCCTTGGCTTTGTAATTGATGGTGGCTATTATCTGAATGAACAGGTGTGCAACTGCTTATATTCTTTTGGCTGAAGAGGAAGCAACCACCATTGCTGAAGCAGAAAAACTATTTAAGCAGGCCCTGAAGGCTGGAGATGGCTGTTACCGACGCTCTCAGCAGCTACAACATCATGGATCCCAGTATGAAGCCCAACATAGTAAGGTTTCCTCCAGGTTGATGCATTGGGGGATCAGAATTGTAAAAATTATTAATCAGAGCAAATTTTTAGTCCAGTTCAAAATATGGTTCTCCTAGACAAGAGAAAATATTGGCTTTTGCTTTATTTTTATTAATTTTCTTCTTTCCTATAAGTGCAGTTAGTAAATGATTAACTTACAGCTTCATTACTGTTTATAGTCACATTCTCTCTCCTGCCCATAGACTCCTAACCCCAGAAATAAATGACAGTAATCTTTGATGGTAACCTTTTTCCCTCCTGAGTTCTTACATATTTCTGTTCATCAGTCGCTTCTGCTCATAACTTTAAAACCCAGTTGGGAAACAGGATTTAAATTAGCCGTAGTGTTAGCAAAGGTTTTATCTTATAGATCTTCTGTAACATGGATTAAAATAAGACAGTTAAGAATATAAGTTCTTGGTGATTGTATCAGTATTTTTTGTTACATAAGAAACATTTGTATTGGCTTCCAGAGAGAAAGAGCCACGAGCTCCTAGTTATTTATCTTTTTTCTATTAAAATAATACCTTTTTAAACAAACAAACAAAAACTGCCCTTTTAAATTTAAGATAACGCTTTAAAACCCGAGACCTTTCACTTCAGTATACTAAATGGAAAGTCAGTGACGCTTTGTAGGGGAACCATATAGAAAGAAAACAATGCAATCTTTTCTGGAATTCCCTGACCCCCTCGTCTCATCAGTTTGTTTGTTGTTTAAGCAGAAATTTTGCAGTCCTTGTGGTAAGAGAGTAAGTATTTCCATGGTCCAACCAAAATTCACAAAGTTATTTTGTTTCTCACTTCGTTTCTCCCTCCTGAAACTTAGGGAGTAGGGATGTATCTCCTTCATATTTGAGATTATAAAATTAAATGTTAATGTTAAACTTGGATTTGGTGTAGAAACTGACTGCATTAGTCCCCATAACTAAGGTGTCAGCAAAATCTTTGCATTACAGCCTGCATATACGTGAGTATGTCCTCACATGTACCACATCAATACCTAGGTTTTTATTTTTATTTTGCAGCATCTATATGCTAATAAAATCTCTAATCACCATCTATGTCTCACTTTTTAATAAAACAGTGTTTTAGTGTAATGCAGTGCATTTTGAAGACATGTAGTAAATATGTATTTTGTAAACTAAATGGAAATCAATACATAAAATTACATAACCTATAATACATTAATTTTCTTTCTTTTCTTCTCTAAATTAAATCCTTTCAACCTGTTGCCTAAATCCAAAAATATAATCACATTTTAAAAATAATTTGTAGGTACTTGGCAAATTTTCAGCACACATCTTGTTCTCATTGTTTCAATCTTGAAATGTTAGGACTTTCGTCTTAACATCTTTTAATAGCTGCATATTATACATGTACTTAATCTATAACAGGTGTGTCATATTTTTCTCAAACGTGGTAATTTTTATCGAGGATTAAACACATGCATGTTCTCATTGGTCTGAAAACATATCCAACAAGACATATAATTAAATAAAAGATTAAGATTAGAAGTTGTTAATGTACTTTTTTTAAGAGTCATTTTAGTGACTATTGTTACAACTATTTAGCTTGTCAATTCTTTCTCTAACACTAGGGTAGTTTTTCATTTTGTTGCATACTCTATTGTCATATCTGGAATGTGTTATATTGCCATCTAAAATCAACTGCTTAGGGGACCTGGAGATGATTATGATGTCACTAGTGTTAGGGAAAGAATAATATGAAGCAGAAGTTCAAGATGAGGCTTCTCCAGACTTAATGTCAAGAATGAAACAAAAATAGTTCATCAGGATGCAACCTGAGATTCACCTCTGCATCTTTACCAAAAGAATGCACACTTGAAGAATGTGGAATTCCTGCTTGTAAACCATATACATTGTGGGTATGTTCATTTTCGCAGCACTTCGTGGCAGATGATTTTATTTATTATCAAATATTCAACATCCTCACTCAGAAGCATGGATTAGGTAATCAGTCACATGATTTGACCTTTGGGAGTCTAAATGCTTTTACTTTACTCGATATTCATTCTACTATTAACAAAGTTGTCAGTGCTCTGAAGATTTCCTTTAGGGGCAAGGCAAATGGGCCTCTGTATTTTTTTTTTTTTAAATGTTGGTGTTTTATATCTCCCTCTTCAGGACGAGACACCAATGTCTTGGTGTACATCAAAAGAAGGCTAGCAATGTGTGCCAGAAGACTCGGGAGGACCAGGGAAGCAGTGAAAATGATGAGAGATGTGAGTTTGAGTTTGTGTTTGGGATCAGTGGCTTGCAGATACAGGAGCCCGCTGAATGGCCATAGCAGTCTGTACCAGTGATGGTGTGGTGGTCCCATGGGTTCTGGAGCCAGACTGTGTGGGGTTCGACTCTAGTTCCCAGTTTACGAGATGAATGATGTATGTTGGGCAAGTTACTCAACTTCTCTTTGCCCTAGTTTCTTCATCTCTAAAATGGGAACAACAGTAACAGTTCTCATAATTACTACTTAGAATTTTTGTGAGGACTAAATGATATAATACATACAAAGCTTTTAATAGGGTGGCTGGCATATTTTAAAAATCTGGATAGATGTCCTTATTAAACGTTTGGGGCCACAGCCAGAAGCCAATAATGAGACCAGCCATGTTAGCAAACTGATTTTATTCTGTGTAGTTGTTAGGAAGATTCGAATTAATTATGGTTCAAATTGCTACTCTCAAATTTAATAATATGTGCTAATCCTATTGTAGTTGTTTCAAGCATTTTCCTGGATTCTTGAACCAGGATTCTTTATTAGTAGTAGTCAAGACAAAAGAAGAGAGGAAATAGGTGGGAGTTTTAAAACAAAAGAGAACCAAGGGAGGTTATTATTATGTAACTTTAAAACAAAACAGAGGTTTTAAGGGAAACCAGTTGGGGAACTTGGATTTCCATGTTTTTTGTTAGTAGGAAATACTTTTCATAAAGAAACTGACACCGGTATGAATTGTATTTATAGGCTATTTTCTTTTTTAAAAACAATCTCAGAAAACCTTTGTCAACATTTCATTCTTTTGCTGAATTAGAAGACATACATACCTGCCTATTATAAAAACGAAAGAACCAAGGGGCAAGATAAAAGTGGCATCTAGCTCAATTCTCAGCTCATGGATTTGAGCACAGGAGGACTGCATACTTGGTGAGCCTTTTCGGAGTTTGTCTCTGGAAAGACAGTTATTCTTGTGACTTCCCAGTTGCTCTTTGGAGGAGGGAGCACCAACACACAACGTTCACTCCGGGTTATTTCTGCAAGTTGCAGCATGATGTGAGAAGGCCCAAGTGAGACTCATGCTTTGGTTTTGGCCACTCTGTTAGGCAACAGTGTAGCCCCCAAATCTGAGGAGAGGAACTGGAAGGGAAGGTATTACAGTATTTCTCTTCGACTGCAGGTGATAGATGCTCTCTAGGCAGAGCCACTGCAAAGAGAATCTCCCTCAATTAAATTATTTTGTTTGAAGGAAGAATTCAAAGAACGTTATATGGTATAAGTGCTAATTTTAAGAAAAGGAGATTTCTGCCGAGATAGGAACTTGTTCTCAAAGCTTTTTAACTTACAGAAATTCCATCCTTTGATATACTGCATCCCTTTGCCAGTCACTTTGGCTCTGAAGGGGCTGGGAATTTTAGGAAGGATGAGGTATTTCTCTATCTTAACCTGGCCCAGTCACATTCAGCCTTTAACAGAGTTTTCTGAACTTTAATTAGCTTGGAACAGGCATGCATTGAGGAGCTAATTTTGGTGATTTTCTTGAGTGCTTAAGCAACTTAACAGGAAGAACAAATTCTGATGATTTTAATTTCAGGGTTTTTTTCTGTCAGTCTCCTAGTTATCGTCATTTTCAGTACATATAAAATTTCATGTGATGAAAATCAATGCACCTACATTATGACTTGCTTTTTGTTTACTGTTATTTTATATTTACAATTCCATTGATTGACCTAGTTCACATTATAGATCTCGAGGGAGAGACGGATGCAATGGGAGAAACACTGGGCAGGAAGTCAAAACACCTGGATGTGTATCTCAGCTTTTCTCTTTACCAGCTTCGTGACCCCAGGCAACTTATTAATGCCTTTTATGTGCTTTTCATTTAGTCTTTAAATTGGGGATAATAATTCTTACCTGAAAGGATAATTGACAGGGAGAATTAAATAAGATAATGTGAAAACACCTGACATATGGTAGGCATGCTTGCAATTTTTGTTCCGATTTTTCTCCATTGTATAAACATACCATCATTTGCTTGACTATTCTCCTGATGGACATTTTACAATATTTCTAATTTACTTTTCTTAAATGAATTGATCACTCAATTAATTTCTGTCTCCCTCTCTCTACATATGTGTATACATACATACACATACATATTTATGCATGTTTGTGTATATATGCGTGTTTCTTATATTACATTTCTAAAAAAAAATCTGTCATATTCTTAGAATACCAATACATGTGCTCCTTTTTCTGGATTTATGGAGCATCCAGCAGACACGGGCCCTCTGGTATAGCAGTCCTGTAAGGAACACTATGAGACATGGTAGAGATATGTTTTGAAGAGAAATATTTGAAGTGCTCCTTCCTTCAGGGACTCCTTTTATCAATCCTTGCACCACAAACAGAGGAGGGAAGGCTGAGGACCCTTCTCTTTGTTAAAGCTATGACTGTTCCCAGCCTTGCAGGAGACAGTTGTTGACCAGGCCTAATTTGTTTGGCTCCTCTCCGGTCAGGGGTCATAGATAACTACGACTTCACTAAGAGGTTCACTCCTTTAACAGCATGCACATAAACTATCTTGCTGGAAGACTTTTTCCGATAAAACAGCTCAGTAGATTCCAGACAGCCTGCTGATAGAGGCTTAGGCAGGATGATCTAATTTCTCATTAAGACATAGCCATCCTCTCCCCATATGCATGAGTTTAAAACTTTCCTAGAGCAGATTTCAAAGTAGAAATAGAAATGTCAGAGTTGGAATGCCTTCCATGTAGAAAGCAGAATCATTTACAGAAATTTCTCTGGAAACACCTTAAGGAAGGGGAAACTGTTAATTGATGAGAGATTCTGAAAAAGAATAAAAGGGAATTCTGGGAAGGCCAGCAGTAGATAATTTCTTGTATTTCCATGGCAATACACCTGTGAAATATTGATGAGGTAAACATGTCGACTCCTTAACATCAAGATTCATCACTTCTCATTTTTTAAAGCAACACATTAATTATTTTGAATTCCCAGGATGTTTTTCAAAAATACTCATTTTAATTAGCTTCCTTTTGCAATCACGAATATGGAAGCCGCACCTTATTGCTGAAGGAATATTTTGGCAGTAGGCAGAGCTAAGAAAGCATACTGACTTTTTCTTGCTTTCTTTCCTGCTTTCCTTCTTTCTTTTCTTTCTTTCTGTCGACAGGGTCTCACTCTGATGCCCAGGCTGGAGTGCAGTGGCACGATCTTGGCTTACTACAGCCTCGACATCCCAAGCTCTAGTGGTTTCCCCACCTCAGCCTCCCAAAGAGCTGGGAGTATAGGTGCACACCACTATGTCTGGCTAAATTTTGTATTTTTTGTAGAGACTGGGTTTTGCTATGTTGCCCAGGCTGATCTTGACCTCCGGGGCTACAGCAGTCCACCCACTTCGGCCTCCCAAAGTTCTGGGATTACTGGCCTTGCATGCTGGCTTTTGAACGTCACTGTAATGTAAGGTGTTATTTATTATTCAAAATAAAAAGGGTTGCATTTTCTGCTTTATTAAATTTAAGGAAAGGTCTTTCTGCTTGCTCTCATGTCTGGTAATTTTGCCTCTTTAACATTTAATATACAATACAAGTTCTTTTTTCCTTTTGACATCTACTATTTAGCTAACCTCAAGTTTTCCTTCTGTCTTTTCCTGGCTCTATTTGAGTGGATTTGGAATGAATGTCATAGGGCTGATGACTATGGTCTGGCCCCTTAGCCATACACTGTCAGAACTGGCATGGATAAACTAATAAGGATGGGTTAGATTGCCTGTGTGAAAGAACCCAAAAGCTCCTGTGCCTAGGTCATTTGGTCTAGGGCAGGATTTCTCAGCCTCAGCACTATTGACATTTTGGGTCAGATAAATCTTTGCTGTGGGGAGCTGTCTTATGCATTGTAGGATGTTTAGCAGCATCCTAAGCTTCCACCTACTAGATGCCAATTGCAACTTAACCCCTGTACCTCCCCAGTTGTGACAAAAAAAGGTGTCTCCAGAAGTTGCTAAATGTCCCCTGGGGGGTAAAATCATCCCCCATTAAGAACCACTGATCTAGAGCATCTTGAGGTGAGTAGATCTGTTTCAGGACCAACATTGGGTATGTTTTTTGTTTGTTTTGTTTATTTATTTATTTATTTTTGACATGGGGTCTCTCTCTGTCACCAGGCTGGAATGCAGTGGCACGATCTCGGCGCACTGCAATCTCCCAGGTTCAAGTGATTCTCCTGCCTCAGCCTCCCGAGTACCTGAGACTATAGGCATGTGCCACCACACTCAGCTAATTTTTGTATTTTTAGTAGAGATGGGGTTTCACTGTGTTGGCCAGGATGGTCTCCATCTCTTGACCTCATGATCCACCCACCTCGGCCACCCAAAGTGCTGGGATTACAGGCTTGAGCCACTGTGCCCAGCCCAGACTTTGAGTTTTTATCCACTCTGTGTGTTAGGAGTCTGGGCTTCCCTTAGTGTGGGTGTAAGCCTCTGAAGCACCCCTAGATTTGACCAGCCTGGTTTTGGGGACTGTTTTGCCCAAATGAGATTCCCTGAAGATCCATCCCAGGGTAGGAAGAGTAAATCAACCTGCTGGGGTCCTGGTGGGAGGGCGGACAAAGAGGAGAATGTGATGTGGGGTGGTGGTCTCCCTTGCCCCTCATGCATGCTTCGAGATCATCGTTTGCTTCATTTCCGTAAATCTACAGTTCCTTTGAAAGTAGACTCTGACGTTATCGCCTTTCCCCCTTCCTTTTTGCAGTTTCCTGCCAACCTCTGAGCCATTCTCCCTCGCTCTTATTTCACTCTCTCTGCAACACTACCTCTTCCCCTATCCTGGCCTCTCATTTCCCACAGATCGTCATGCTGTTCTTGAAACATTTTATTTACTTGATTTTAGAAAACCATACTCTTAGTTTTCCTAAAATCTCATAATCTCTTTGCTAGATTTTCCTCATCTTTGTGACTTCCAAAATTTGAAGTGTCCCCTGGCCAGTTCT